GAAAGAGAAAATTCTCCCGCTCAATTATTAGCAAAACTTATCTTCTTACATCTAAAATCACTACATATGAGAGAGAAATTTCTCTCACTCAATTGTTAGTCAGCTTAGCTTATATCGAAAAACACTACATGTTGCACAGAAAATACTTCATCTCACCTGTTAGCCGACTTATCTTATACTTAAAGAATTACATATGACTGACAAAGTTCTTCCGCTCAATTATTAGCACACTTATCTTCTAATATTTAAAATCACTACATATGAGAGAGAAATTTCTCTCACTCAATTGTTAGGCGCTTATCTTGTACCTAATAACATTATATATGATAGAGAAATTTCTCTCGCTGAATTGTTAGCCTCCTTAATTATGACCTAATCTTCTTATACCTAAATTTTATACCTAAAACACTACATATGAGAGAGAAATTTCTCTCACTCAATTGTCAGTCGGCTTATATAAAAATGCACTACATGTTGCAGAGAAAACACTTCATCTCACCTGTTAGTCGGCTTATCTTATACATAAAAGAACTACATATGACAGATAAAGTTCTTCCGTTCAATTGTTAGCACACCTATCTTCTAATATCTAAAATCACTACATATGCGAGAGAAATTTCTCTCACTCAATTGTTAGTCGGCTTACCTTATATCGAAAAGCACGTCATGTTGAAGAGAAAATACTTCATCTCACCTGTTAGCCGACTTATCTTATCTTATACTTAAAAGAACTACATATGACTAACAAAGTTCTTCCGCTCAATTGTTAGCACACTTATCTTCTAATATCTAAAATCACTATATATGAGAGAGAAAGTTCTCTCACTCAATTGTTAAGTGGCTTATCTTGTACCTAATAACATTATATATGATAGAGAAATTTCTCTCGCTCAATTGTTAGCTTCCTTAATTATGATCTAATCTTCTTATACCTAAAATTTTATACTCCCTTCGTCCCATAAAATTCTTCCCAGCTTCCTTTTTGAGCCGTCCCAAAAAAAACTTCCCAATTACTATTTTTGGACAATTTGTGTGGTTCACATTCATTTCATCTTTTTCTTACACAATCACTACCATACATTTCCACTTTATTCCACTTTCTTATTCTCCGTGTCAAGTCAAAGTGGGGAGAATTTTATGGGACGGAGGTAGTACCTAAAAACACTATATATGAGAGAGAAATTTCTTTCACTCAATTGTTAGTCGGTTTACCTTATATAAAAAAGCATTACATGTTGCAAAGAAAATACTTCATCTCACCTGTTAGCCGGCTTATATTATATTATCCTCCATTCCGTTTTAATCGCAATATGTTGAATTTTACACTATTCACATGCTCTACTTTGACTACGTTTTACGTTATTATTTTATGAAAATTATTTTTTTAAAAAAATATTGTTCAATTCATCTCATTACAAATTTTCAAAAACTGATTTTTAATATTTTTTACTACTAGAATGTGAAATGTTGACCATTGCAAGATATAATTACGGTCAAAGATAGGGGTGGACCGGTTCCAGTTCGGGCCCGGCCAGGCCTCGGTTCATGAAGGGGAGGCCCGGAACCGGCCCGGGTAACCCCCGGGTCCGGGCCGGGCCGAGCCGGGCCTCGGTTCTAATTTTTTTTTTTGCTTTTCCTAGTTAACCCCCAACCCTCCTCCCTCACCCCAAACCAACCCTAGCCACCTCAAATGGCCCAAAATACCCAGCCCAACCCAAAAACTTAAAAAAAAATTCAAAAAAATTATAATAATAAATTGGTCCGGCCCGGGCTTGAACCGGCCGGGCCGGTTCACCTTTTGAAGGGCCCGAGCCCGAACCGCCATCCCATCGGGCCGGGTGGCCCGAACCGGTCAACCAACCGGTTCACCGGGCCGGGCCGGGCCCGCACAGTAGCGGGCCGGTCCGGTTCCGGGCCGGTTGGCCCGGTCCGAGTCCACTCCTAGTCAAAGACGTGCGTTGACAAATGTGAAATGTTGACCGTTGCAACTAAAAAAGAACGGAGGGAGTACATAAACGAACTACATATGACTGACAAAGTTCTTCCACTCAATTGTTAGACGGTTTATCTTATATCTAAAAGCATTACATATAGGAGATAAAATTTGATCGCTCAATTGTAAACGGACTTATCTTATATTTCAAAGCACTTCATATGATAGAAAAAATTATTTTGCTCAATTATTAGCTGACCTATATTCTACCTAAAAGCACTATATATGAGAGAAAATTCTCATACATCTTCCAAAAAATGTGTAATGATTCACCCAATAACAATTTTACTTCCTCGTCTTCCACATCTTCATTAATTAATTACATAATTCCTTTTTCATTTACTTTCTACCTTTAGATTGTTATCAATTTGAGTATTTTTTTGCATACCCAGTATATCTTTTCAACAGCAAGAGCTTATGCTATGGAGGTTTATTATCATGAAGAGTGGGCTTTTGATTGGCAAGTTTATTTTCATTTTCAAAATTCAGTTTGATTTGACTACTTATTCTAGTTGGTAATCTAATATAGTGCTTCTTTCATGGTCAATTATATAGTAAGAGATGTACATTTTTTGTTCAAATATTTTTCGAGTTGCTAGATTAGGAATCATCTGAAACACTTTCGTAAATCTGTCTCGTTCGTATGCACATAATTGGAAGCCCATAGTAATAACCAAATTCAAGAAATAATTTTAAGTCACTAACATATTATAAAGATATTATTTCAACATGTTGAACTAATGAATTGAACTAAATTTAGAAGTTTTACTTTTTTAGCACGCAATGTGATTATCATTTTCTTTTACACATTTTTTATTCTCGAGTGACATTATAATATGAAGGAATAATGCTTGTAATGGTCTAACGAAGGGAGTAGAATAAAAAAAAGAAAATAACATTAGATTTTTATTAATCGTAGCGTTGATGAATTCAAATTACTCACCGTCTTCACTTTAGACCAACTCAAAAAAGAACTAAATAGACCAACTCGAAGTTTTATTTTATTAGAACTAATTAGGTTTTTATTTGCTAATTTTTTATGAAAAATTTTAAAGGTACACACTTTTTTGTGTACACACTTTTTACACATGTTTGTGTAAGGTTGTTTTTTGTCTGTACAGACAAAACGTATTTGACTGTACAGACAAAAAAAAACCTTACACAGACGTGTAAAAAGTGTGTACACAAAAAGTGTGTACCCCAAGCATAGCTCATTTTTTATATATCAAACGAGTGCACTTAATCATAAAATACTTTAAGAAAGTTTTCTCAATTAAATTTATTATTTTTAGATTTTCCTCTATCAAGGCCTAATTTTAATTTTAGAGATTGTTTAGTAGCAGTGAAATTGGTTGAATCTTTTCAATGGATGAAGTTCTAAGAGAAGTGGTTGAATTAGTTGAATCTATTGATTTATGGTTAAATTTAATTTAAAATATATTTTATTAATAAAATAAAGAAAAGAATTATATGAAAAGCAGCTTAAACTGATCACCTATAGTAACTTCAACAAATTTAGAGAGAAAAATTACTTCAATCAAGCTAAACATAAATAGATCAGATCAGTTTAAAAAACCAAAAAATGTGTAATCGATTTTTTCATATTTGTCCCTTCTCTTAAAAAGAACGAATGTCATACTATTAGAAGTTCTATTTATAAGCATTTTAGCACCCGATGTGGTTAGCATTCTAATTTGCTAATTTTTGAATTTTGATTGACATTATAATAAGAAAGGAATAAGGGTTATAACACTTTAATAATGGGAGTATAACGTTATATTGTTATTAAAAGTAAGACTATATTAAAGACTGGAGTTTTTTGAGATAGATGACGTATGTTAGTAGGCCAAATTTTTATATTTTGTATCTCTGTAATTCGTTTTTTTTGTAAAGCAAATAACAAAAATGCAAAAGATGAAGCCACATGACATAAGTAAACAATGTTCTCTAACACTGGTAGGTAGACACGTTACATAATAATTCGGGGTAAACCATATTTTTAATAGCCTAATATATATAAATATATATAATTTTATTTTATACATAATTACAGAGACCGTCAGCAAATTATATTTTTATATATTCAATATTGATCTCAAATGAAAGGTCACAAAAAATTATGAATTTTGAAATAGTTTTTGTAAAAGTTGGAGCAAAAATGAAAAAATTATAACACTTTAAAGAAAATTGGGGTTTTTTATTGTTTGGGCCCCACCAAATACATCTCCTTGCCTCACCCTTCCTTTTCCTTTGGTTTTGTTCTGTATTTTTGGAGTTAAAAAGGCCACGTGTCATTTTTATAAAGAATTAGTGAATTGAGGAGAGTTTGACACATAGGATCTATTAGGAATAAAACTGTATTTTTATGAGCTACTTTTTTTCTTATATATAAATAGATTAGTTACTCAAATTTAGGGAATAAAAATGTACTGCTCCTGTTTTGAAATTATATTTACTCCTGATTAGGGCACTTTTTTAAAGATTCATTTTCATGTTCAGTAAATGTACTCCCTCCGTCCCGGAAAATTAGTCCCACTTTGACTTGGATCGAAGTTTAAGAAAGTGGGAATAAAGTGGAAATGTATGGTTGTGATTGAGTAAGAAAAAGGTAAATGAATGTTAACCACACAAAACTTTCCAAAAAGGAAAATGGGAACAATTTTTTGGGACGGACCAAAAAGGAAAATGAGACTTATTTTATGGGACGGAGGGAGTAATAGATTACTTGGTTTTCAAATATTGCTTTACGTGAAAATCTAAATGCTTATACCCTAGTTTTAAATATTTGTAAATGGGTTCTTAGTTTTTTAATGCTAGTACATGCTCGAATGCCCTATTTTCGTCTCCTATATGGCATCACGGGCAACATTGAAAAAGAGTAATGCATCACTTAATGAGGAATAGTGGAATACGTACATATCAACTGATATAGAGATGCGTTAAGGATTTCTTTGGAATGGACCTATAGCATACAGAGATGTGTTTAAATCTGATCTTTTTGGGTTGAGTGGTTTATCATTTTCACCATTAATGGGGCATTTCTATATTCTACCACAAGTTTGAACTCTGAAGTTAAAAAGCATTAGCAATTTGTGAAGAGTGAGTAAGAACTTTTCTATCAACAAACGCTGCCAGTCTTGGAGTTTCAGAAATTGACACTAGTGGAAAACAGCCAAAGAGCAAAGTTGTTTTTCAAAAGCTCAATTTGGAAGTTTGACCGATGGGAATTCACAGCAAAGTAGTCGAATCCCTAAAAAAGAGCAGTCTATCATTATCCAAACAAGCCCTAAGTTTTAGATCAATTTTACAAGTTGCTCCCCGCCATCTCAGAAGTGAGATCATGGTGATGTATCTTTATGTCCCGAGAAGTGAGATCATGGTGATGTTATCTTTATGTCCAGGATGAGAAGGGCTGGAAATCAATCTTCAAAAACTAGAACTCGAATGAACCTCTTATGCCATCTAAACTCTCTCCAAGAGATACCCTGTCATAAGGCGACAAACAGAGTTGATAAAATGTTGCATTTAGTAGCATCCCGAAGCTACAGAGAAGGCATAGGAATAGAGCAAACTAAAAGTGTCGGGAAGTCAACTACTAAGATACTAAATATATTCAGTCATATATATGCTTCAAATAACTGTTTTCTCTCTGTAAAGTAAATGTCAAAACTTTCTTGGCATTCTTGTTACAGTTGTTCCTATTAGTGGGCATAAAAAAAATATTCTGTTCTTTTAGCCTAGAAGTAATTCATGAGTTCTATGTGTACTTTGTAATCTGGACGAGGAAGAGTGCCACTGCACACCAGAAGAGTGTACCACTAAGAAGAAATGGATTATAACACCTAAATTTTGTAACTTCTTCGTTATTTTGATTTGGATGATATATTATGTGTTCATCAGTCATAACTCTAGCAGTATACCATACAGGGATATGAATTTCAGGCTTATGCCTCAAGATGCCTCAAGGTTTATGATTTGTCTCAGGCTCACATGCACAATTTCCCACCACGCTTTAATAAGTATTAAAACCTTGATAAGTGCTCGTAGTGAATAATTACTTCCTCCGCGAAAAAACAAATGAAATAAAAAACAAGTATTTATATTGTGTGGCCAATTAGTATATCTTTCAAGACCATCATTCCTCTTCAAATCTAGCGTATCATCAAGATATATTAGGTGGAGAATATATAAATGCAAGAATTTACATGATTTATATTTTGGGATAACATGAAAAGCTAGAAAGGTTGACCGTATAAATTATACCTGTGCATGCAATACTTGTATTCTTGACTCCTGACAATATCTTTCTCCCCTTCTTCCAGCTACTCAGTATAATAGAAACTCACATTAAATTAAGTTACAGAACAAACTTATTGGGCTGGCAATGCACATAAACATGAAGGCAATTAAAAATGAATTTCTCTTACTGGATCACTCTCATAAACAAGCTCATAACAAACTGGTGACAAGCACTGTAGAGCACAATTCTCCTTTGCTACCATTGAAGACTTGCATCTTTCTCCCCATAAACCACTTTTCAATTTGAAAAAAAAAACTAATTAGTGATGTTCAAACTTTGTGCTCTTGGCAGTTTCTTTATCAGGTAGAGTTACAAAGAAAAATCTAATTTTCTACATTGAAATATTAAGGATATACAGGAAAAAATTCTATAAAGAATAGCGTCAGCAAGATTTAAATTGCTTATGCAATTTAAAAAATAACTACCAAATCCTAAGAGCGTTTGTACCAGTAAAGAGATGAATAAGAAAACAAATTCTTTTCGAATAATCTTCTCATGGCCGATAGTGAAACAACCAGAAGAAAACACTTGCAGAATTTCAAAACTTCCAAAATAGGGATTTGAGTAAAATACCTTTCGATGTTGGCGTAGCAATGATGCTTCTTCTCTCGAATCTCCATCTCCTGTAACGGTATAAGTAATTAAAAATGGATGGGGTTAGAAGTTCAGATAATAAATTACGTGAAATGCAGTAATTTCTAAAACAATTAACAAGTCACGACATGTGAATTTTCTCACAGAGATTGGGCGACGAGCCTTGGAAAGAACTCCATTGACGTACAGTAAAGAGATGGCAACAATGATTAGTCCTGCGAGTTTACGGTTCATAGTCGCAAAAGCCAGAGATCTTCACTAAATAGATTTTCTACGGCGGCGGGGATGGCCGATGGGGTAGGGTTCCGGCTAGGCGATGCGTTGTCCGTTGAGGAGATCCTGGTTGGTCAATTTCATTTTAATTTGGTGCCTGAATTTGTATGATAATTAAATCAAGGTGACAACTATGTACCAATTTAAAAATTGGAATATCGTACCAATCACTTGATTGATACAAATTATTATATCATTTTTAATTTAGATTTAAATAATTGAACTCCAGCATTCTGATTGGTCCATGTTGACAAAGGTATGATACCTTAAGGGTACCATAGAATCTATCTTAAATAAAAGTTGAAACTAATTTTATAAGACCATTGTAACCATTTTAATTATTTTTTATAATTTAACATAATCAACCAACCTAACCGTTTCGATCAACACTTTAATACATAACTGCGCCGGAAAATACATATAAAACGCAGTTAACTTCCAAAAAATGATTTGACGGTCTTCCCGATTGAGTTTTCAGCTGGATTGTTTTGTGGATAAACTAGACTTGATGAAGAACATGTCATAAAAATTTCATCGAAAAATTCCACCGGGAAGGTGGCCAAACGCCGCCATCCGGACAGAGGTTCTGGACCGGAATTCCGGACTTGAACATCTCTCTCTCTCTCTCTCTCTCTCTCTCTCTATATATATATATATATATATATATATATATATATATATATATATATATATATGTGTGTGTGTGTGTGTGTGTGTGTGTGTGTGTGTGTGTGTGTGCGCGCTCGCGCGTGCGTGCGTGTGCGTGTGTGTGTGTGTCATGGTTTGAACTTCGAAAGGCGGGGTGCAGGTAGGGAAGCATTATTCATTTTTGGGATGAAGTAAAACATACGACGGCAGGCTTGCTGGTCGGGCTCTGGCTTATAATACGAGAGTAAATAAATCTTAAGAATATGCATTATATAATTATTAGCTAGCTCTGGCTTGACATGGGATGTTTGTTGAAGATGGAGCCTTGTTCTGGTCGCTAAAGCAGATACTCGACCGAGTATGTTGGGATACCCGACCGGGTATGAAGATGAATCTGGTGAACACAAGGATAAAGGAAGGTGCAGCCGTGACAGATCACGTCGATGAGTTTAATTCAATTATATCCAGGTTAGGTTCGGTTGTTATCAACTTTGCCCGATAGTTGGTCCGGTACAGTCACAGCAGTTAGTAATTCGGCCGGAACCACTAAGCTTACCTTTGAAGGTATTCGTGATTTGATCCTTGGTGAGGATATCCGGTGGAAGAGTACGGGGGATAGCTCCAACTGTTTGTTAAGGACTGAAGATAGGGGCAGAAAATCCAACAAAGGAGGTAATAGGAGAGGGAGATCAAAGTCGAGGAAGAGAGGTCAATCCAAAAACAGGAAGGACATCAATTGTTAGAATTGCAAGGAGAATGGACACTTCAGAAACCAGTTCCCAAAAGCCTCTGCAGACAAAGGCAAGAAGGAGGTGAACGTGGCAGAGGTCTATGAAGATGTTCTAATTTGCAGCGTTGAGAATTCAATTGAGTCCTGAATCATGGATTCAGGTGCATCGTTTCATGCCTGTCATTGCAGGGAATTGATGCTGAATTTCAGGCCCTACAGCGGAAGAGTTCGTTTGGCGGATGACAAGTCTCTGGAGATCACGGGTATTGGGGAAGTTGTCCTCAGTACCACTTTGGGCACAACCTGGAAGCTGAAAGATGTGAGGTATATTCCAGACCTGAAGAAGATGTTGATCTTAGTGGGACAGCTTGATGAGGAATGCCATAACATGAGTGTTGGCAACAAGCAATGGAAGGTGACAAAGGGAAAGCTGGTTATTGCTCGTGGACAGAAGCATGGTACACTGTACATGGTTGAAGTGTCCGCAAATGGAGCTAATGCAGCGGTTGAAGATACAGGGGTCTCTACTTTATAGCACCAAAGACTTGGGCACATGAGTTAGAACGAAATGAAGATGCTATCTTCAAAAGGCAACATCCCAGATTTGAAGAATTCAAAGTTGAGGTTTTGTGAGCCATGTGTGCTTGGCAAACAAAAGAAGGCAACCTTTGTGAAGACAGGACAACCACCCAAGACTGAGCGGCTGGAGCTGATTCATTCAGACGTTTACGGACCCACAAAAGTTTCTTCAATTGGAGGTTCCTGCTACTATGTTACATTCATTGATGACTCTACACGGAAGGTATGGGTTTATTTTCTTAAGAATAAATCTGATGTCTTTAACACTTTTAAGAAGTTCAAAGCTGCAGTTGAGAATGAAACAAATCTTAAGATTAAGTGTTTAAAGAGTGACAATGGCGGTGAGTACAGTAGCACAAAGTATGTAGAGTATTGTGTTGAACAGGGGATCAGGATGCTGAAGGCGGTTCCAGAAACACCATAGCAAAATGGTGCTGCACAGAGTATGAACAGAACACTGAATAAGAGGGCAAGGAGCATAAGGTTGCATGCAGGACTTCCAAAGATGTTCTGGGCTGATGCGGTGAACACAACAGCGTATCTGATCAACAGAGGACCTTCATCTCCCATAGGGTTCAAAATTCCAGAAGAGGAAAGGAAATGTTAACATGTATCTCTTACTCACTTGAAAGTTTTTGGTTGTATTTCTTATGTCAAAGTTAAAGATGCAGATAGTGACAAGCTAGGGGCAAAGGCAAAGAAATGTATCTTTATTGGGTACGGGTTGGATGACATGGGCTACAGGTTCTGGGACAACCACAACAAGAAGGTTATCAGAAGTAGAGATGTCACCTTCAACGAGAATGCCCTGTATAAAGATGGTCTTGCAGCAGATACAAGCAAAGGCAAGCAACCAGAAAACAAACTGCAAGTGGTGTTTGATGGGATAACAGAAGATGACATAGCACAACTGGTCAGTTTTGATGGGACGGTTGGAGGCTCAGGAAGCCGTGAGAGCTCATGAGATTCCGGAATTTCAGAAAGTACTGAGAGTGATGAAGATAGTGGGAGTTCAGAGGCAGGTGAGCATGAGCCAACAACTCCACATATCAGACAGTCTACTAGAAATTGAAAACCTCTTAACAGATATTCTCCTTCAGCAAATTAGTTATTGCTCACCGAAAATGGAGAACTAGAATCTTACTCAGTGGCGTTGACAGTGAAATATTCCATACAGTGGAAGAAGCTCATGGAGGATGAGTTAGATTCATTTGACAAGAACCAAACTTGGTCCTTAGTCAAGCTACCACCGGGAAAGAAAGCTTTGGAGAACAAGTGAGTGTTCAGAATCAAAGATGAAGCAAATGGGAGAAAAAGATACAAGGTTAGGCTAGTTGTCAAAGGGTTCCAATAGAAGAAGGGGGTTGATTACAATGAAATCTTCTCTCCGGTTGTGAAGATGACTACTATCAGGTTGATCCTTGGTATCATTGCTGCTGAAAATCTGCATTTAGAGCAGCTGAGTGTGAAAACTGCCTTTCTTCATGGCACCCTTGAAGAAGACATTTACATGGCTCAACCAGTAGGTTTCCGAGTGAGTGGTAAGGAGAAGTTGGTGTGCAAACTCAAGAAAAGTCTATACAGACTGAAGCAAGCTCCTAGATAATGGTACTTGAAGTTTGACAGTTTTATGCAGCGGAATGGGTAGAGTAGATGCAAGATGGACCATTGTTGTTACTTGAATAAATTAAAGTCATCATACATTATTCTTCTTTTGTATGTTGATGACATGTTGGTGGCTAGATCAGACATGCAGGAGATCAACAAGCTTAAGAAGAAGTTGTCCGAAGAATTTGAGATGAAAGATTTAGAAGAGGCGAGACAGATTCTTGGGATGAGCATAGCCAGAGACAAGGTGCAAGGTACTTCAAAGCATTCACAGCAGAAGTACATTCAGAAGGTCCTTGAGAAGTTCAGAATGACATATGCCAAACCAAGGAGTACACCTTTAGGGAGTCATTTGATACTCTCCAAGCAACAGTCTCCAAAGACCAATGAAGACAAAGAAGAAATGGCTAAAGTTCCTTATGCATCAGTCGTTGGCAATTTGATGTACGCGATGGTGTCAACAAGGACGTACATTGCTCATGCAGTGGGATTCGTTAGCAGGTTCATGTCAAATCCAGGGAAGGAACATTGGGAAGGAGTCAAGTGGCTGTTGCGCTACTTGAAAGGCATTTCTGAAACTGCCCTTTGTTTCAGGAGGAATGGTGTAATCCTAGAAGGATTTGCTTATGCTGATTTGGGGGGCTGTTATGATTCCTGGAAGAGCACTACGGGGTATGTGTTCACTATTGGAGGTACGGCGATTAGTTGGATGTCCAGACTACAGAAGAGTGTGGCTCTTTCAACCATAGAAGCAGAGTATATGGCTCTTGCTGAAGCGGCTAAGGAGTTGATTTGGTTAAAGAACTTCCTTTCAGAGTTGGGCATGAAGTAGGAAGAATGTGTTCTATATTGTAACAACCAGATTGCTATCCATCTCGCGAAGAATCCGGTGTTTCACAGTAGAACAAAACACATCAAGATGCGGTATCATTTCATTCGAGAGTTGATTGAAGATGGTACCAAAAATTTGAAGAATATCATTGGTACGAAGAATCCAGTAGACATGCTTATCAAGGCAGTGACAACGGAGAAGTTGAAGCTATGCATGGCTTCAACTGGCCTTCCAGATATTTGATGAGAAGGCGTGAATGAGAGAGAGAGAGATCATGAGTTTTACAGAGGATACATGTTCTTGGATGGCAGATAATTGTTGAACAAGCTTCCAAGTGGGAGATTGTTGAAGATGGAGCCTTGTTCTGAACGCTGAAGCAGATACCCGACCAGGTATGTTGGGTTACCCGACCGGGTATGAAGATGAATCTGGTCGGGCAACTCTCTGTAAGTGATACCCGATCAGGTAAGGTGTTTTACCCGATGGGGTATGTTGATGTTTGGACCTGGGAAGAATACCCGTCTGAGCTACCAGACCGGGTAGCGTGGCAGAAGTCTCTCTGGAATACATACCCGACCGGGTATAGGAGGATACCCGATCGGGTATGCGGGAAAAATTTGTACGGGCTTTATTTTTCCAGGCCTGTGGCTCTAATTTGTGTTTAGGTTTTCTAAGACCTATTTAAACGACTCTTATGTACTTGTAAACCCTGACGCGTCGATAATAATATACTGCTCTCTCATTCACCGTGGACTAGCACAATCACCCCGATTGTGTGAACCACGTAAATTCTTGTGTTCTAGTTCTTTAATTTATCATTTCTCTTAACCTGAATCGTAACGATGTTTTCTTTTGGACTGTTTTTCAGTTCTTTACCAGACCAATCTTAAATAGACCAGACTTTCATAGTTATAAAATACACAGAGACCTGACGTTTACCAGACCAGACCAGACTTAAACAGACCAGTCCAACAAATTTCAATCTAAAAGAAAACATCCTTTGTGGAGGAGATCAAATTAAGTAGTACGTTATCGATTCCAGCGTCGATGAAAATGAGTCAATCCAAACATTTTACCACATTCGCCTTCCTTATCATTTCTTCTTCTTAGATAATACGATACTACTACGTATTGTATTATCATTTGCTTCACATGTGACCCCCCCCCCCCTCGAAAAATATCTTGAACAAAACATTGAGCTTTAAGATAAGGTTTATTGCTAGCTCGTGATCTCAATATCTAGAGTTATTGTAAAGGTTGATTATGAGAGTATTCTGAAATTAAAGTTGTTATGAAAAAAGACAAATGTCGCTCACGAGACAGTCAAAAGGCAATCTATACTTCAGCAAGCACCTATGTGTAAGGCAGAGCACGAGTCAGGTTCGGACGGGTCGGGTTTAAAAATGGTAAACCTGTTCGGGTATCGGATTGGTAATTTCAAATCTTACCCTATCAAAAAAATGGATTAGGAAGTTTCTCAACGAGGATGCTAATGATCTTGAGCACATTAGAATTTAATTTTTTCCTAAAATGTATAAAATCTCTAGTGGGTTATACAATACAATTACATAAAGCGCAAGGATATTCAGACAACTTTCTCAAATTCAACGTACTAGAAAATCAACAATTATTCAGTTCAATTAAAATGAATATATATTTGGATTTACTAATCTTATTATTGGTGTTGGTGTACTGATTGGGGAACACCCTACACCTGAGCTTGCTTGCTTGCTTCGGAGAGGCCAATGCATCACTACTCCGTATCTGTGTGTATCTGAGAGATACGTAATAATTACATACGTAGTACAATGTTTTAGTTTAGTGATAAGACATAAGACGTGGTAATCACTAATTAGGGAATATATTTTGCTCCTACACGGCTTCTGTCCTCAAATTAAGTTTTCACTTTCATTTTTGAGATATTCCAAAATTAAGTTCTCATTTGAACTTCTTTCTGTATTTGGTAAGTTTTATTATTCATTTACCTTTTTACTCTCATATCACTTCCTCAAATTAAGTTTTCACTTTCATTTTTATTATTTGTATATCTTTCTATTTTAGGAAAGTTTTTGATAAAATACCCTCACTTTTATTACTTTTACTCCTCTTACTTTTTACAAACTATTTTCTCTTTCCTACTTTATTACCACTTTACTCTTTTTAATATACTCTTTTTCCTAATTTATCATCACTTTATCACCATTTTACTCTTTTTAATATATTACATTTCCTACTTTATCATTTACCCTACACACTATACGTTTACTATACTATTTTTCTATTAAAACTCGTGCCCAAGATTAACAGGACAGATAATAAAGAACGGAGAGAGTATATCATTTTACATTTTGAAATTTTTTGTTTAACTAACGTTTATTTATCTGTTTCTATCTAACCACAAAGATACATTTTGACTATTCTAATTTTTTTATAAACTTCAATAAGTCAATCGTACAAGAATTTTTAAACTTCAATAAGTGAAACGTACAAGAATTTTATGAGATCGATGGACTATGGTTTTAGGAAAAGTGAACTTCTTTCTTTATGAGAGTAATTTTCTAATATAAGACATAAATGATCTCGGTTAGGTGATCAAACTTTCCCTTCTAAAACAGCTATCCAAAATCGAAATTCTGGCAACAAAATCTCTCTATCTGCAATAAGACAAAACACAAATTGAGAGTGTCTAGAGCAAAAAGACATGGAAGAAACAGTTGCCCAGACAGTATCCATGGAAATGCATGGGATTAGTAGAAAAATGGTAATAATCCAATTTGGTACTATCTGAGTAGAGACTACTGATTTAACCAAGAATTAGAGGTATTATAATACAAACCTCACTGGCTCCTTTACTTACATCCTCCTCCACTCTTAGTGCCCTTTCCCATGGCTTTCTTCTCTGCAATTGTTGCCTTCTCTACTCTCATCTTTCTGTATTCTCCTCACCTTTTCTGGGAATCCTTTTTCTCCCCGCTCCTTGTTTTGACCTTCGCTCTCCTCCTTCCCATGCTCCGGCTCATCGCTTCTCGGAGACCCGCCCGGTTCGGCGAAACCGAGGTCGGTCTGGTACGATCGTCTTCATGTGATTCTCGCACCGATGCGGACCGTCCGGGTCCTGATCCGAACCCGATCCACGACGGATTGATTCTAGATCGGAACGCGAGATCTGCAGTAGAGGCGATACGCGAAGAGTACGACGGGGAAAACGACGGCGTTCTGCACGGGAAGAGAGGTCTGGATCTGGGCGCCGCCATTGAGAGGTACGATTCCCTCGCGTTGTGCTATCCGGAAACGGACTCCGACTGTTCTTCGTCGGACGGGGAGTTTACGGAGATCGGAGAGTGGCGAAACGAATATTCCGGTGGGTGGGAGGGGGATGAGAGGGAGGAGATGATGATAGAGATTAAACTGGACTGGGAGCGAAGGCCTAACAAGGTGGTTGTAGAAGAGGATAATTTGATCGAGATCGACCTTTCCCCAAATCGCGAGTTTTGTGATGAATTTTCAGATTAGTGTCCTTCCATGTACGTTCTTCCCCAAAATTACTAATGTAATTAATTTTGTTAATTTTGTATTAGGAATAGGAATAATATTGATGGACACGTCATTCTTTCTTCATATGCACCATTTCTGAATCTATGTTATCCGAGCCGAACTGGACTGGAAAGCGATCTAATCGAGTGATCGTCACGGGTCAGCTTGAACCCAAAGGGTCAATCCAGTCAATGCCGTGAAGACCCGGTCAACATTTACAATCTTGTACAACAATAAATATCTAATAAACTATAGCTAATAAATAGTCAATTAAAATAAAATGTGTTTATTTTTAACAATAATCAAATACTTTTAATACTTACTAAACAATGGAAACGCATACTCCATCCGTCCCAGAATTTACTTCCATAGTACAAATGACACACAGATTAGGAAAGTGAGAATTGTGTGGTGGAGAGTTGTGCGGAGGAGAGAGAAATGCGTAAGAATGTGTAAGAATTACTGTGAACCACAAATTCTTTGCCAAAAAGGGAAAGAGAAGTTCTTTTTGGGATAGACAAAAAGGGAAAGTTGGAAGTAAATTATGAGACGGAGGAAGTACATAATATTCTAATGTATAATTTTAAATTTATTTGAATCGATACAGAACCCCCTTCTTAAAGGTCTGATGTGTCAAAAATATTTTGACATACGGGATCCATCTTAAAGGTCATGTATCTCACGAAAATTTAAAAGGTTTCTTAAAAAAATATTATTGAAACAAAACTTATCAACAAAATATGACTAAATTTATTACGAGTAAAATGTCATGATCCCTTAATTGTAAAAAAATGAACATAAGTCACGTGTTATGACTAAAGTTACTACTTATTATAGTCACTACACTTGGGAAAAAGACACGTTTTATATAATCTTTATTGTGATCATAAATATGTAATTAATAGTGTTTAAACAGCAAACCAAAAAATTAAACATTTGTATATATCTGCCAAAGTAAAGAAGCATGCTTGATTAAGAGTTCCTAGCATCTTTACACTTTGTCAAACATATTAAAATAGTATGAAATTAAAGATTGAATTCAAATCTTACCTGATAGTTTAGCTTTTAGTGTAAAATTTGTATTAGATTGAAGCATATCCACATATTTACATCTTTAAAGATTGAATCCAAATCTTACATAGTTTAATTTTTAGTGTAAAATTGGTATTAGATCGAAACCTATCCACATCTTTGCATTTCTTCCTTTCATCCTTCATTATCACATAATCAATGTAATTCTACGCTAAAGATGTGCAAAACTACAAGAATAACAATAATTCTCATTGTCTCAATTTGTTTTGCAAAATGGTTTACCAGGTTGATTAAACATAAAGATAATCCTTTTAAATTGCTTTTACAAAAAAGAAATCTACAAACTATATTAAAAGTTATTGAGAAATAATAAAAATGATTATATTAACCATGAAAAGTAAATTGAAAATAATTTTGTGACAGAAAAAAGGGGAGATATGTTGTTTTAGCCCCATAACTTTTGAGCAAATTTGTTATTTGTTCCGTAACTTTTGAGTGTATATTTTAGTAGTCCTGTTACTTTACTAACTTGCAGATTTGGATGTGTAACTGGTAAAATTGTTCACATTAAAGACTTTTCGATCCGAAATTAGAATTTTCGCAAAGAAATCAATAAAGTGACCATTGACGTCCACTTTTAGGATTAAATTTTTAATTTTCTCAATAAAACATCAAATTTACTACAATCAAGTAAATTAAGATTCAAAGTCCAAGTCCAATCAATTAAACGAACAAAATAATGCTAATCAAATCTTATGTTTTTTAAATAAATTGAAAAGGTCCAATACAATATGGACCAGCATTGCCTTAAGAAAACTCCAATTCAATATAATTAATCAAATGTCCTGCCATATACTTAAAACTCTAAATGGATTCCGGTGTACATAATTAAATGTGCAAAAGAGTTCATAAATGACATTAATTTTGTGATGTAAAGCTAAAACCTTGACTAAAGTATCACAATAACAAACATTTATTCTCTTACAAAAGATGCTTACAATGAATTGAAAACCAAGTTTCCTAGAACACATACGCATTCCCTCGATTGAAAGATACATTTCGAATTGGCTCAAATTTAAAAATAAAGATAAAATTGTTGTTTTGTATCTTTTAACTTGCAAAAAGTAAGAAAATGTAGTATGCATCCAAAAAGAAGTAAAGCATGAAGTGATTAGGAAAAAAATGAGAAATAAAACACCTAAGAAAGTTTTAATATTTCTTAGGCACACAAAAAGTAATTTGTGCCTTACATAAAGGATGGAGGGAGTAACGAAATCTGGTGAAAAGTAAATATGGACCATGATTTTTAATTGTGGTCATAACATATGTTGTGGCTGCAATATTGCGGTTGCATTTTGTAGCCCAACCACATCGAGCCACAATGGAGGTGAGATTTTAATTAACGGGAAAATTCTACTAAGTAACTCAACGAAACTGCAACGTGGCTACAATGGGGCCATTTGTCGGATTGTATCAGGACACAAACAATATCTTTTTATTTTATTTCGTTCAAACGTAAAATTAAATTACACTGCATTGGCCGCAATATGTGTCGCAATGATCGCAATAGCTGCAAGCGCAATGACCGCAATCTCAATGCTACAACAATCATAAAACTTGATATATATGATGATGATGAATAATTTAATATAAATTCATTTAAGAAATGCAAATTTATTGTTGATTGTGATTAAATCATAGTAAAAATGCATCATATTCAATTTTGAATCATGAATATTCACAATAACTATTGGTATTGTTCATTTTAACCTGATTAAAATTGACGCGCTACCGGGGCATTTCCCTGGACTTTACACTAGTACGTTACTATAGTAACTATTAGTCATAATTTTATAAAGGAAGAACTATCAAATAAACCATCGAACTTACATAAAAAGTGCAAATCAGCCCTTTTATAGGAGGCTCTGTCCGGCCGTCATCATTTGGGGCGGTTCCCGGTGGAATTTTTTGATGAAATTTTTTGAGCATCTTATTAATTAAGTCTAGTTTACGCATACCAAATTTCAGCTAAAATTCAATCGAGAAGGAAGTCAAAAGAATTTTTGAAGATACCTGCGCAGTTGGACAGCGCAGTATATTTCAGAAAATCATTTGACTTCCTTCTTGGTTGAATTTTTAGCTGAAATTTTGTGAGGGTAAACTAGACTTAGTCAAGAAGTTGATCAAAAAATTTCATCAAAAACTTCCACCAGAACCCGCCCCAAATGCTGACGGCCGGACAGAGCCTCCTATAAAAGGGCTGATTTGCACTTTTTATGCAAGTTCGAGGGTTTATTTGATAGTTCTCCCTTTTCTAAATAACTAAACTTCATTTATGTAGTACTTTAAAAAAATGTAATGTGAAGACAAGAATCTGATTCTAAAAATTCAACGTTCACTCCTCTTCTGAAGACACTTTTGTTGGGTGTGTCTCGGAAAAACAAAGAAATATTAATTAAACAAAATTAATTAATAAATTCCTTAAAGAAAACAAAAAATAGATGGGACAGAAATTAGCCAGAGGTCATGATACGCACGGTGTCCTTAAAACGTATTCGTCGTCTCCCACGATGCTAGGAGCGCTGCAACGATCGTATCCCAGGATACGGTGGCTAACGAAGTAACGTTTGAGCACACTAACGAAACTTCCGACGAACGGAAACACAAGAAGAACACACAGGAAATTTTCGGGGAGTTGGAGTTGTTTCTAGCTGCAGGAAAACGTGCAGATTGTGTATGATTGCATGTGTTGTTGCATGTGTTGTAAACCCATCATTTTCCCAAATTTTCAATTTCAACGAGTGAACTTCGAGAATCAATTTCTCATTCACCCGTTATTCGTTTTGAGTGTACCATATATCGAATTGTAGCTCTTAACAAGGACAATTCGAAACCAATTTGACCTGACCCAAATCGGTAGTGGACCCCACTCAAAATATTACTTCAAAATGACATTTTAATGCAAATTTTAACACATTTTTTCAACAATTTTAACTTTTGTTAACCATCAAAGAGTTCAACCATTTCAATTCAATAGCTTTCAAACCATACAAACAAAGAGAACATAATTTAGGAAATAAATTAGATTCATCAATGACAAATTAATCATCAAATACTAAAAATAGTACACATGATATATAACATCATACATTAGTACTCCTTAGTTATTTGATACGTTTGTTATCAATTTTTTTTCCAAGATATACTCGAATTATCTTATTTAATTATTATTTAAATAGAGGTCGGAACAGAAGTAGCATTATCTAGAATAACATACAAATAAACAGAGAATTTCTTGGGAAAAAAAATGATATGACCAGACATGGAGTATGGATTTATAGACGAAAGAATCTGTTTCAAGAATTGCATTTAATTATATCATTTATATGTAGTCACTCTTGCCTAAATAAATTTCACCCTTTACTATTCTCGTGTTTGTTTTGCTATTCATCAAACCAGGACAGATACGTGACAAGGAATTAATGTTTTTCCTTGCAGTGTTCTAAGATAGATCAATAGACCAACCCTCCAATCCTCCATCCAAACAGATCCTTAGCCATAGCCGGAAAAGGTTGGGACCAGGTACATACCCTCCACTTCGATCCCTAGAGGCCCCTCTATAAAATTGCCATTTTCATTTGAGAAATGTGCATAAAATTGAAAGAAAAAAGACGTTGTTAGTTAAGGATGGGGACAAGGAGAGAAAGGGAATGGGTGGTAGTAATTAGGAACATGGAATTCTTGAATTTGGGGAGACATCCGCTTTTAAGGGTATGTGTCCCTTTCGGCGATTGAATGAATGGTGCACATGAAATCACTAACCCTATCACGCTCGGAGAGATATATTAGACTACCAAAGGTCTCCTTGTTTTATAAACTGATTTGATTTGTGAAAAAAAAAAAATAGTTAAAATATATTTTATTAATAAAGTAAAGAAAAATATATATGAAAAAATAGTTATATGTGTCCTTTACAGTAACTTTAGCCAATAAAATCTCAAAAGTAACTTCAACCTTATTTTTTCTTATTATTACATAATTCAGCGCGCGAAACAAAAAGTTATACGTTTAATGAAAAAACTAGCT